CTCAAAGTCGAAACGCGTAAGATTATTTATTATTGTATACGTCGGACAGTCGTCAATAGCAACGTCACTCGAAAGTCCAATGAATAGATCTTAAAGCATAATATGGTTGTTCAGCTCAACGACAATGACGATTGATGACCATATTAGCAAAGAGGATGACTAAAGCTACACAACTTATCTCTTATCAATGCTGAAGGTCTCGCTAAGAACGAAATACCTAACTTAAAATAAATGTTGCTGTCTCGTATTTTGAATAATTTTCACTATGAGAAAGCTTGGCTCGAAATTCTTCAAAAATTGCTAAACATTTTTTAATCGTTCTTTTTTCTTCGTTCGTTCGTTCCTTCATTCTCTTACGTTCTCTTTTGTTTTTGTTTTTATTTTATTTTGTATTGTGTATGCGTGTGCGTGTGTGGGTGTGCGTGGTTTTTTTTTTTTTTTTTTTTTTTTTTTTTTTTTTTTTTTAACATACGGACAGATTTTTAATATATTTTTAATTTTTTCGTGCAGTGAAGAGACTAAGAGAGAAAAACTGTTATGCCAAGGAAATTCCATAATAGATTACTACTAGAAAAATATCGAAAAGGCCTTTCCATCGTGCTTTATTATTATAAAAATTTCATCGATAGATTTGATAAACTTAGGTGGTTAAACAGTTTATAAATTACTTTTTCTCTTAGCCGATGTTCAAAAATTTTGACACTTTATCACAATAATATTTTACATTATTATGCTCAGCTTGAATATCGTATTGTCACAGATATATTATCTATTTCTTTCTTTCTTTCTTTCTTTCTTTGTTTTTTTTTTTAAATGCAAGATTTATTTGCTTTTATTTGAAATACAATAGGAGTGCTTTGTAAATTCAGTTTAGTCGATCTAAAATAGAATTAAACGGGATCAAATTAACGATCGACATTAGGTATTATTATGACTAATCCTATCATTCGTTAATTTTCGAACTGATTTAATTGAAAGCTTTAGACAATTTATATAAGGTGATATTTATGATTGATCCTCGGATTTATCTGCCGTCTTTACAAAAATATCGTGATAATTCGATCATTCTTTTTTTCGGTTTGCCGTTAAAATCATGATAGAAACAAAATTAATAATAAATAAATAAGTATAAAATTCGAATAATTCATTTACTATTTCAATTTTACTACAGACGTTTTAATGACATTCGCAAGGCCACGTTAAATTGAGTGCAAATTCAATTCCCAAACGCTGACGACGAGCGCAATGGCATCAACGGCTTTATCCCAACGTTCGGTTTGTTGAGTTTGAATTTGAAAAACTATCCAACAATGCTTTCAAGTTTCGCTAATTTGAACGCGTAGAGCAGCTAAGCCTGAAAGTATTGCAGCGCAATATCAATTGTTCGACAAAATCCTAAGCAATTCGAGAATTATCATTCCCCTTAACAATTATAATTGCCAAATGGGAATGCGAATATTTAGCGTTCATCGGCAGTTCCTGGTGAGCCGTGGGGCCAATTTTCCCGGATCGCTCATAATCTACGCTCTCGACCCTGTAACGTTCGCCAAACCAATGACATTCCCAGTACTAGCAAATTTTCCTTGCGCAAATGTGTCATTAATTACCCAAGTAAGCGGGCTGACCCCTCGAGTTTTCCGACCGGATCCCTCCGCATCGTGGCGACCATAACATCGTCGACGGGTGTCCATATGTCATCGGGGGGGGGGGATACCAGCAGAGCCATACCTGGTGCATAACCACTGCAGGTATAATGCCATAATAATCCTATTTTGTTTGTCCAGGGTCGGCGCACTCAAGTGCGCCGGAGCGAGATGCGCGCACGGGTGTCGCCGTAAAGGAAAACTCCAAGAACAGAGTGGCCACCAGAAAGTGCCCCAATGACAGACAATGGGAGCCTAGAATTTCTTTACGATTTTAGCGATAATCCTGTAAATTATCTTCTGGTGGATTAATAATCGCTTCTACTTCTCTCG